GGGGCTCCTTAGTATAACTGTAGTATAAAGGGCCCAACACCCTATTCTAATATTATCAAGGCCCCTATATATGGGTGGTTGTCAAAATGATGGTCCCTTTTTGGGTCCTTATTATAATACGGCACCTATTATTTAGGGTACCCCAAAAGGGACCATAATTTTGACAACTACCCATATGAATCTTTGAGGTTCAAAGCCCTGGAATCCCAAGCCGAAGTCTCCTGTGTATTGGTGGGCACGTACGTGCGTCATCTTGGTAGTTGTCAAAATTATGGTCCCTTTTTGGGTACCCTAAATAATAGGTGCCGTATTATAATAAGGACCCAAAAAGGGCCATAATTTTGACAACCACCCAATCTGTGTTTCCTCACTTCTCGCCTTTGGATTGCCGGTTTTGAGTTCAGTCGCAGGTCAGCGCAAGCTGAATACCCAAACCCCCGGGAAGATCTAAAAAGTAGAACCCCTAATTTGGGACCCTAACTACTAAAGGCTACTTTATAGGAACTCCCTTAGGGGATCTACTTTTTGGACCACCCCGGGTTCTGGGTGTCTGTCTTGAGACTTGTAATAATGTAAACATCAGCCGGTAGGTCTGATTCCAAAACCGCTTCCTGAGAGAACTTCTGACGGTAGCCTGGCAACCATAGCTTTAACTTTAAAACATCTCCCCTTGCTGTCTACCACCCCGTCCCCTTTTCCCTTGAAGGTAAGTAAGACCTTACTTACCAGGTCTCATGATCCTTCGGGCAGCCAGGCCACGCGGCACCGTGACGTCCAAGTCCAAATGCTGGAAGCCCAGTGTCTCTACAATGACCTTCAACGCCGACGATGTGTTCCTGACATGGCTGAATGGTTGAAGACTTTAGGGTTTTAGGGTTTAGGGCTTTAGGGTTTTAGGGTTTGGGGCTTTAGGGTTTTAGGGTTTGGGGCTTGGATTTAGTATGTAGGCATCGACATTTGTGGGTTGAGGGCTTGTTGGGCTTTAGAGTCCAGGGTAGTTTGCTTTCGATCCGGCTTCTGATCATGGTGGCTGTTCCAACAGCAGATGTTTAGGGTTCCCTAAACCCTAAACCCTAAACCCTAAAACCCTAAACCCTTTATGGCTGACGGTGTAGGGTTCAGGGGCTTGCAGGGCCCCTGCTTTCGAACAAGGGTTGTCTAGGTCCTGGGTTTAGATGGCGTCTCTTGGATTTGGGCTTGCAGGGTTTAGGGGTTTTGGAAAATACGGTTTTGACACTTGGCTATACGAAGCCCGACGGCCCCAGATATAGACCCTGAACGCCAATGTCGCAGTCTCGCCACAGGATTGGGCTGCAACTCACTCTACCCTAACCCCTAAACCCTAAACCCTAAACCCTGAACCCTAAACCCGAAACCCTAAACCCAGTCTAACTCTTAAGCCAAAGCCTGATTCAACCTTGAGCCGCGAGGTCCCAACTCAACGTGAAAGACCTGTCGATCCCACAAGTAAGTAAGTTCGGAGTCTCCCCACATCCTCAGGCACTGAACCCACTAAGTCCGTAGTTCGGGTGCAGGTTGTAAGAAGTCGCTTTAAGCCGAACTTGCTCAAAGCTGCTGGCTTCTGAAGGCTTGGTTGGGCCCTAACTAACATGCGAGGCTCTACACCGTGCTTCGAGGTTAGGGTTTAGGGTTTAGGCTTTAGGGTTTAGGGTTTAGCGTCGAGCGCCATCGCCCCCGACCCCACAACATTTCCTTCAACCGGTCACTGCTGTGCTTTCGCATCCAGGACACATCGACGAGATGATATTGTTCCTAGGCTCGGGGCCATTTCGAGGCTTGGGATCACGCAAGGAACCCATCTGAGAAGGCCGTCAACCACAAGCCCCACGCTATAAGATCTAAGCTCCTAGACACAAATCCCTACTCTAAGACTTCTAAGCCTATGGTAACATTGTTATTCCGAACCATTGTGTTAGTAGATCAGAGTAGACTGCCCTCAATACAAGGGCTTTCCCATCATACAAAGGCTTTTCCGTCAGATACTCTGCACTCTAGACATTCCATGCTTGAAGTCGGAACATTCACTAAGCCCCTGTACTAGGGCAGAAGGAGCTTCTCTCCACAAGTGACGGAGGCCACGAGACTTATCCATATCTACCCGGTGTTTGTCCGAGTCAACCACGGCATCAAGACTCTCACAACGGACTGGAAGTTCGAGCCACCTCCATCCGGATTGGATCTTCAGGACGGTCGGTTCAACACTCTTTCTGTAAATTTCGGGTTTCGGTGAGTTGCGGCCTTGGCAGTGCATCCTACGTTGCGGAGGGTTTGGTTCACCGCTCATGGTGCCAAGAAGCAAGCCGTTCATGAAGCGCATGGCCTCAGCTGCAGAGGTCTCCAGAATCAGAGACCTTGAAGCCCAGTACCCTGGCCCAAAAAAGTTTAAACTTTTCTTTTAGTAGGGGGTTTAATATATCAAAAAATTTAAAGTTTACCTACTGGGCTCCTAAGGAGACGGTCAGGCTTCAAACCAAAAGGAAGAACCTCAAGCACTCTGCCAAGTGCCAGAACGACCCTTCGAGCTCCGTCCAATCGGTTACGAAGACCTTAAATAGCCAACTTAGCCAACGGTTCCCAGTATGTGGCAAGTACTTCGAACTGCTCTCGTTTTTGCAATAACTTCAATTAAAGGAACGCTGATCTGAGTCAGACCCCAGATCTCACACGACTTCTGGGGCAACAGCCTTACTACGCTCACCCTGCGTGGGCGATCGTGACGAAGGACACAGAGGAGGATAAGCCGGGACATGCTCAATATGTCATTCAATTCCGTAAGATATGGGGGTTTCCGAAAATAGGGGACCCTAATATAGTACCCTAAATAATAGGATCCTCACTATAAGGACCCCAAAATAAGGTACCCTTTGTTTTTGGAAACTCCCATATGGTCTATCTCACTATAAGTGCAGCTGGTGGCTTGATTGCTCAGGCTTTCTGTTAGCGTTGGCAAGCTCTTGGATTCTGTAAGATGCCACAGAGCAGTTTCTTTAGTCTAAAGTAGAACCCATGTGCCCCTAGTATGGGCCCTTAACCCTGGGACCCTAATACACCTACTATATACCCTATATATACCCTTAGGGGACCCTAGAATCCCCTAAGGGCCCATGTTAGGGGCCCATGGGTTCAACCTTAGAAACAAACCCTAAACCCTAAACCCTAAACCCTAAACCCTAAACCCTAAACCTATTCAGGCCCCCACATTAAGCTGCCAG